TAAATGCAGAAATCATGGTCCACTCTGTATCCCATAAACAGTTTGTAACCTTATTATAAACATTCTCATGTAATCAGAATGGTGTGTTTTAGAAAAAAATAATAAATTATATGAAAACTTTAAAGCTCACTACTAACACACTTTCAATTTCCATGATTCCAGTTATTCTTACCTACTGTTCACAGGAGATGTCATACAACGCGAGAGAAGATGTAAAATCTAGACTATTTCGTTTAGTCTCTTCAAAGAAATTATAGGATGAAATGTAAATTTCATTGGAAGTATATAAATATGTAATTGGTGTTTTGTACTTATTCTTTCTGATTTTATAACTTGCACTACCAGTGATAACTAAGAGGGCCATAATATCTGAAAAGGATTTGAACATTTAATTAGTAACTGTGACATCTTCTGGCTATTGCTCCCATTAATGTGTTATAAATTTGAATGACTATTTTTGGATGATTTGCTTGCTCTGAGGATTCTAAGTATCTAGAACAGAAGATACACACAATGAAATCACTTTATTATATGATTCACTCACGCTGATAGAAACTAAACCTCTTATTTGAACTCAGATTTCAGAAGCTATTTTATCAGGTGCCTTTTTGGGAAGCAGCAGGAGAACAGCTCAATAGATCAAAGTCAAAGATCCGGAAATGCAGGAACATACTAATATGTTCAAAGAAAGTTTGGGTTTCCTGTTGTTTTGTGAGAGTTTAGATATCTGTGTGTGTTTGCTTGCCTATCTAGGTAAGTGTGGCTTTGACTTTTAAAGATGATTTGTATACTCTCAGTAAGCTGTAAACTAGGCACTTGAGATTTCATCTCCTAGAAGCTAAAGCTTGAAGTCCAAACTCTGGTGGAACGAGCAGCTCTTCAAGAGAACTTCTAAAAACAATGTCAGTGCCAATGTCAAACAATGTCAGTTCTTTCTGACTGGCATGCCTTAGTTGGCAAGCACAGCACACAAGCCTATGATGGCACTATCTGAATGATGCCAACTGTCTGAATGATACAGATATAGATGCTCAACTCACCTCAGACCAAATAAAAACTGGGGCAATATTAAAGGGTGGACATTGAACCTGGGCTCTCACATATGCTAGGAATGTTCTCTTCTACAGAGCATTATCCACGGACATTTCTTAACATGTTTAAAAACAGAGTTTCATTGAATTTTCAAGGCTGGCTTTCAACCCAATCTGTAGTCTAAGTAGGCCTTGAACTTGTCATCTTCCTGTCTCTTCTCAGTAGCTGGGATTCAGGCCTGTTCCAGAATGCCAAGCTAAGACTGAGTTACTTAAAGAAGATAAAAATGAAGGCAAAAGACAAGCATTTTCTGTGTATTTAGAATCCAGGTCTCTGATGATATAATCATCAAAATTAAAAGTTATTAATAAAAAACTACTCTCTTGAGTCTTTTATCTTCTCTGCAACTGTCTCATTAAATATTTATTGTCCCAAGTGCAAAGGGGATAAGAAACTTCTTGAGTCTTTATCCTTTTTAAGAGGACAATTTCCTAGCCCTCTTCACACTCATATTCCCTCGCATTTCTTGCCTTTTGCTGTTACTCTGATATAATTTTAGTCCAGTAGGACAATAAGATCTTAAAATACATTTCTCAATGCATGGTTTTTTACAAAGGTTCTTCTGCTCCCTTTTTACGTTATCGCTGTTTATATTTTTCAGACTTCTAGATCTATGTGAATCTAATGTCTATATTAGAAACACCATACTGAGAAGTATTTAAAGATTCCTTGCAGTTGGTATTTTAACTGAAGTAGCACATGATTAGAGTTTGAGGGAATTCTAATTATTTGCACTTCTATGATGTATACTCTAAAAGGATGATTCTTTGAAGATGACTATAATAAAACTCATTAAGAAAAATGCATTGAAAAAAAGAAGGAAGCCAGGCATTGTAGCATGCAGCTTTAGTCCCAGCACCAGGGAGGCAGAGGCAGGCAGATCTTTGTGAGTTTGAGGCCAGCCTGGTCTACATTTCTACATAGTGAGTTCGTGGCAGTTGGAGTGTCTGTACCAAACATACAGCCAGTTAGTAGTTCAGAGCTGCTTCCGGAATATTCGTTGGTTCTTTCAGCTGTCTGTGCAGCTAAAGTTGGCTAAAGCCATTTGAAGCAGCTGGCAAGAGAATGTTATGGGAATACAGGCTAGTGTTGGGGAAAATTTGAGGCTCTTTGGTGCATAAGTAGTTAGAATAAGAATTGAGCATTGACACCTGACAGGTTTTGCTACACTATTAGAATGTTAGATGTGTATAAAATGCCTCTTTTCTACCATCAAACGGGAAAACACTTGTCAAGTGAAAGTTCAATGTAATCATTGAATTCTTTGTCACTTGAAGAGTGGGAATGGTTGGAATTGGCTGAGTCTGCTTCTTTTGAGTCCACAGAATTGGGGCATATAAAATGGATATCCACTTTGTGAAACCATAAATACTTAGGTGGCAATGTGATGTTCTTTCAATAGGGGAGGGGGTAGCATTTCTTTGTAATTAAAATAGCTTGAAGAAATCCAGTGTCTTCCACAAGGCTGACAAATGGACTTGCAAAGTGACTTACTAACATCATCATCACTATAAATGTGAAATATTACTAGTATAGAAATATTTAAATCATCTGAAAAATCTATATGGAATACAGAATAGGTTGAAGTGGATAAGGAGAAAAGCCTGTAAAAATACACTAGAGTTGTGCTTTACAAATGATGATTTTGTTAGTGAACATTTTTCTCTTCTGGTTTTGCTTATAGATGTGTTTCCTCACGCAAGCGATGATGAAACCTCCTGCAGCAGGGATTTCCAAATTCATCCTGTATCATTTGACACTTAATTTCATACGTCATATATATTTTTGTATTTGAAAGATACCTGTACTAAACCAACAGCATTAAGAAATTCTTATAAATAGAAAATAAAATCTCTATTTATAAATATTTTCAAAGAGGACACAGATAAAAAAGAAATCTATTTTTACTTTATTGTTATTTTAATAGCATATAAATTACATTCTTATGGGGATAAGGAGCTTGGATTCTTAATTCACACATATCAGTTTTTATGAACTGATACTGTTGAAAATAAAGCCTACCTATGATGCATATTTTTAGTTGCTAATGCTAATTTAGCTGTAGAGGAATCTAGAATTTCTGCATTAGAACCTGTAAGTGTATGGAGAGTTTTTTAGTAATAAATGTTATATTTTCGGGAGGAATTTCTTTAACCAGCACTTTTATACTGCTGTAATATCTGTAATTTTTTTTTTTGTCTTTTTGAGACAGGGTCTCCCTGCAGCCCCAGCTGTCCTTGAACTCACTATGTAGACTAGGCTGGCCTCGAACTCACAAAGATCTGCCTCCCTCTGTCTCTGGAATTAAAAGTGTGCGCCACCATGCCTGGCTAATCCTTCTGTTTTACTTATTACGATTTGTAAATGTATTTGTTTTTACATCCTGAGGTTTGCTTCTGTTTTATTTATTTTTTATTATTTAGAGAATATTAGTTTCCTTAAACAAATTCAGGTAAATAAGAAGTTATATATTTACTAAAAAGGATTGCTCCTGTACAATGGCAAAAAATAAGCTTAATGTTCCTAGGCTAATAGAATTGCTAATTTATGGTGCTGGATGTAGGGGTTTTAAGCTTCATTGTGGCGCCTTACTATTTTTGTATTATGGTGGTCAGGTTGAACATAGCAAAGTACAGTGGTAATGATCTCCTCTTCATCCTGGATGAGGAAGCAGATGATTAAGTATTGATGTAGGCATCACGGAGAAACATTTATCTATTGCTTCTGTTTGAAATGATGCTGGGTTTTCATCTTTGTCAAAAACATGGTAGTAGTGATGGATATCTCCTCCCTTAGAGTTCTCACCATTCAAACATGATAGATTGATAAACTGCTAGTAAGCTTCAGTCTTGCTTACCTTCATTTGGTCATCTTTATATGAATCCAGTGTTTATAGAGTTTTGTTCTGGGAAATTGTTTTCCTGGTATTTTTGTTTCTTTGTTTAATAGTGGTTTTTAGCTGATGTTCATAAAAAGAGTGAATACTTAGAATGATGCCATAATGAAGGAGTGGTGTTTTTGTTTTTGTTTTTTGTGTAGCTGTATCATACCATTCTTTGGGCCCTCTGATGGAAGAACAGAATGAAGTTTCAAACCATCCCTTTTAAATAGTACCCTCTAGTATTGTAGACGTGCTTTATGATATGTAGTACTGACTGTGATTTATCATATGTAGTACTGACCATGCTTTATCAAAGCTGCTCTTAATGATTTGACTCAGACTGTTTTCTTTCAAAATGATGAATGAGAAACTAACTTTAAAAAATGGTCCTGGGTACCAAAACAGCAAGATAACTGTGCTGTTTTCTGGGATTTTGATTTTCACCTTACTTTTTTAAAGGAATGTACTTGATGTCTCTAAAATTTTATTCAAATGACTACAGAAACTGGAAGTGCTATTATTGCTGATAATGTATAACATACTGTCATTGTTGGTCTTTTTGTATAAGTACAAATATATCTATATCTATATCTATATCTATCTATATATATATATATATATATCTTTTTGGAAATTTTAGTGAGTTGTCAACTTCAGAAAAAAAGTATAACAGTTTATTGTGTTGAATTGACATTATTCAGAAATTAATAGCCACAATAGTCTAGAAGCATGGTATATTTTCCAGTTAATCTATAAGCAATATGAGGGCAGAGAAAGTCTCTTCTAGCATCAATATGTTCCCTAAACTTTGCACCACGACTTGTGCATGGTAGGCTATTAGGCAAGTTTTAAATAAATGGCTGAATGAGTGAATGGTGAATGATTGTATGTTCTGAAAACTAATCACACTATAATAGATTGAACTGTTTTTTTCTTGAGAATTACTTTCAAGGTTTCTCTTATATTATCCTGCTGTCATAACTACCTACTATCATCCAGTCCATTCTAATGAGGTATAACTGTTTAGTCCAGTCCCTGATATTAGTTGGAGGAGGTTGGATGGAAGCCCGTTGCCAGGGAAAGTCAAGTACAGCAAATCTCAAGCTATCCTTGAAATCCCAAACTTTCAACAAGAAGATGAAGGTTTTTATGAATGCACCGCAGGCAATCTTCGAGGAAGAAACCTTGCAAAGGGTCAGCTCATTTTCTATGGTGAGTGAACAGAATTTCAAATAGTATATGATATACTCCATAAAAAGGAGGAAAGTCACGAGTATGTTGTGGAAATGTGTAATGCGGGGAAATAGGAATGAGACATTTTCAGTTAGATATTTACTTCAAGGATTATCACATAGGGTATTTGTCTTAAAAAGTGGACTTAGAACTGGGAAATTTCTCAAGAGATAAAGTATTTGCTACAAAAGACTTAGGACCTAAGTGCAAAACCTAAGCATCCACATCAAAAGCTGAGTATGCCAACACATTCCTACAAAGCCCTTGCTGGGAAAATTAGTAAGATCTCTGAGGCTTGATGGCTAACCAGACTAGACAACTCTTGAGCTCAAATTTCCATAGGAGGTGCTGAGTTAAAAAGTAAGTAGAAAGCAATAGAAAAAGATAATCAAAATAAGCGTCTGGTTTCCACAAGTACATGAACACCTGCACTCATCTGTACACACTCACGAACACGTGCATATACGGCACACATACACATACATTTGTGTATGCAATGTTATTAATTTCAGCTTGATCTGTACATGTTATTGTTATTTGTGATAGCCTGAAAAATATAAGAAATTTTATTTTAACATTACTTAAGTTTATCGTACAAAGTAGTTATGACTAAAATATATTTTTCCATAAATATTCAGCAGCAGCCCATGGCAACCTTAATTATTATTCTGAGTAGAATTTAGTAACAAAGGGGGAAATGATATAAAAATATACTGAAAGTTTATTTTCAATATTTCCTTCCATTTTTAGTACTTGTCTGACCATATGAAGGTAAGAGAAGAATACTTTCATTACTTCATTATAAAACTTCGCCATGGCTACTAGAGTATCTTTTGAGCTAAAGATACTTCGTGAACTAATAAAAACATGTAATAAATCTAAATATTACCTCTCTGTCTTCTTCCTTGAAAATTTTTTTTTCTTTTTTCTTTTTTTTTCTGTCTTTTTTGAGACAGGGTCTCCCTGTAACCCCAGCTGTCCTGGAACTCACTATGTAGACCAGGCCAGCCTTGAATTCATAGAAATCCGACTGCTTCTGCCACCCGAGTGCTGGGATTAAAGGCGGGCACCACCACGCCCAGCGAAATTTCTTTTTTTTAATGCAGAATCTATAAAATACATAACAGAATTATCAAGATGTTTGGTGCTTTTAAGATACACTGAAGCTGGGTCTAGAGACATGACTCAACAGATTAAAAACACTGCTTTTTCAGAAGATCCAAATTCAGTTTCCAGCACCCACATGGCAGCAAATAATATCTAAAATAACTCCAGTTCCAAGGGCTCCTACGCCCTCTTATGAACTTGACAATGCTGACAGGTATACCTACAAACATATAGGTGAAACACTCATACACATAAAATATAAATAAAAATTTAATGAAATTTATTTTTTCTTAACTCTTACCAAAGAAGTTTTGTTATGCCGCAGATGGGGATTAGCCAATTATCCAATGTGCACAGAACAAGATGGTGCAGAGAACAAGAGGCTGCAGAGTGCTTATCCCTGAATAGGACACGTATTTCAAATCTCTGTCTCCCAAGGCTTAGGGATCATTGCAAAAGAGGAGACAGAAAGAATGTGGCGGGGGGAGGGGTGGTTGTTGGTGACCATAAGAAAACAGTCTTTAAGAGGGCTGGTCATTACTCATATGAACTCACAGCAAGGTCAATCTAGACAAAATTCCAGTGTAAAAATGATGACGTGGGTAAGAAATCTCAACTCAACCAAAGGAACTTTTGGCAAGCAATGGCTACTGGGAGTGGGAAAGACCAAGTCTTATAGGAATGGGACTCTTGGTGGGCTCAGTGGATGGACCCACACTGAAGGACATTTGGGGAAGCAAATCAGAGTCTGTAGACCATATTATATTAATAAAAGAGTTCATTAAATTGAGTGGGGAGCAGTGGGGGAGAGGTGCGTAGAGGGAAGCAGAGCTAAATACCATCAAAATTGTATTGTATGAAAACCACAATAAATCAATAAAAAAGAATTAAAAAAAAAAAAAAGACGACTTGCCACGACTTGCCATGAGCAGGACAAATTCTCACTGAGACCCCATCCTGTCAGACCTTTGCATGGGGCAAGCTTTTCGTTGCATTAAAGTATATTGGCCAAGAAGAAAGAAAGAAAGAAAGAAAGAAAGAAAGAAAGAAAGAAAGAAAGAAAGAAAGAAAGAAAGAAAGAAAGAAAGGAAAAGAAAGGAGAGAGAGAGAAGGGAAGGGAGGGAGGGAGAGAGGGAGGGAAAGAGGATTATACAATAATTTTGAGTGTATTTTTCACGGCACAAATATTTTTCTATATGTCATGTTTCTATCACTGATAACATTATTGGAGAAATATAATGGTTGGATGATTTGAATATAGTTATCTCATCAGTGTAATGACTGAGTATCCTGTGGGAAAAACAGATTGTGTCCCTGGATATATTATTTTACATATACTTTAGAATTTCCTAATTTAACTGATAAAATTATCATTTTATATATGAATTTTCTTCTGATTATTGTTCTACAATGTTATTGATGCTTGCCAAGAAAAAAATGATTTATTTTTTCAATAGTATCTACTTTTTAAAAGACAATTTTTGGAAGTTACTAACTTTGCCAAAGCATTAATAAGTAAACAATGGAGAGTTTTTCAATAATAATGATATTAAAGGCTTTGGCTATGCTTTAAGAAAATATATTTCTCAATTTTTGTTTAATAGACAAAGATCTATCCAAGATATGAGTTGCAATACAAGGTATTGCAGCCTATAACCTGGAAATCAACAATAAATACTGTCTTCTGTATGCGTACATCATGTGTTAGTTTATACAGAATTTTAGAGATGTCAAGTTCAAAATTTCTAGATTAATTTTAGGTATAGATCATTGTTAGGAATGCTATAGTTGGAAAATTAAAATTAATTATACGTCATCTCACAGATACTGATTGTCAAATTCTAGATTAAAACCTTGAGGGGTCTCCTACAACTGACCTTGAAGGGTCTCCTACAACTGGTCTCTTTCTAGACCCAGAGTCAAAACGCCAGGGTCATTCTGCCTCCATCTCACGGTGACCTATTCAGGCTTTCACTGAGTGCGAACAGTCCTTGTAGAAGAACAACATGTAGTAGGCTAATTAGGTAATCACTGCACATCTTAGTAGTATACTAATTAATTTAACATGTTACAAAATAAAGAGAATTCACCTCATGACAGAGTTGAATAGGACCTGAAAAAAAAAA